AAGGAGACGAAGGCGAAGCGGCGGAAGCGACAGCGCGAGGATGCCAGGGCGGCGCTCGACGGCCACACTGTCCTGTCCACCGGATCGCGCCTCGAGATCTTCTGCGACAGTGAGCGGTGGTACCCTGCGACCGTCATGGCGCGGGAGGAGGACGGGGACGGACGGATCGCGCACCAGATCGAGTACGACGGCTACCCGGATCGGCGGTGGTGGCACATGCTGGACGACGAGCGGTGGCGCGGCGTCCCAGAGCAGGCCGGCGCGGGCGCAGGCAGCGCTGCCGCAGACGGGGATGGGGATGCGGCGATGGACCGCGCGGACGGCGAGCGGGGCGTCCGTGCCGCGGGCGACGCCGAGGCGGCCGAGGTGCGGCCGGCGCCGCCTCCTGTGCGCCGGGGTGTGCAGCGCAGCGCGCTGGCGGACGCCCTCGAGGCGGAGGATGACGAGCGGCAGGAGGAGGCAACGTGCGGCGATGGGCGGCTGATGCTAGCGCCACACGGGCCGGCGCTGTCAGTGCAGCTTCGGCGCGTGCGCCTGCGGCTGCGCGAGTTCCTGGCGACGCAGGCCGCGGCGGGGAAGAGCGTGCCGATGCAGCGGACGGCCCTCGGTCTGCACCCGACGATGCGGTGGACGATCCGCTTCGGCAAGTGGCTGGCGACGACGCGAATTACCGCGCCGAGGGCGAGCCGGTGGCACGCGACCGAGCGGGGCGACGCGCGGGACGAGGAGCCGACGGTGCGCACGGGGCGCGGCGAGAACACGGTCTACGTCGCGCTGCAGCACATGAAGAACCACGTGTGGCGCGAGATCTGGCCGGCGATGCCGGACGACGCGAGGCAGTACTGGCGGCTGGTGACCAAGCAGGTGATGTCGCTGTACGACGGCGGCGGCGGCGGGATGAAGGACGCGGCAGGAGCCGCCGGCCGGGCGGCGGGCCGCGAGGCGGCGCAGGAGAGCGCGTCGCACGGGCAGAGTGAGGCGGCGCAGCGGGCGGCGAGCGAGAGGGCGAGCGCAGTGGCGAGCCGGCGGACGATGGCCGAGCTGCGCGAGGCGACGACGAAGCCGTGCACGAAGCAGCACCTCTTCCAGGTGGGAGAGTACCAGATGCAGGACACGCAGCTGATGGAGCCGTTCGAGGTGAACGTGGCCTTCATCATGAACGCCTACTTGTGCTTCGCGCGGCAGACCGGGTGCCGGCCGGGGATGGCGGTGACGACGCGGCGGACGCGGCCGATTCGGACAGCCACTGGCGCGCGTCTCCCGCTGAGAGAGAGAGAGAGAGAGAGAGAGAGAGAGAGAGAGAGAGAGAGAGGCGAGTAGAACGGTGGCGTTGGCGTGCGATGGGGCGAGATGACACTGAGCCGTGCCGCTCGCCGGCAGGCACGAGCTGCCGCCGCTGACGATGGGCGACCTGTCCATCGCCGCGGATGAGCTGCTGCGGGGACTAGGCGGGGCGGGCGTGATGACCGAGGGCGACTTCGAGGCCCTCATCCGGATGGAGGTGACCTTTGCGCGGAAGAAGGGCGAGTACTACGCGTGCTACGAGTTTGGGACGGCGATCACGCCCGACTCGGACCAGATGATGCGCATCGGGACGCTGGCGATGGTGCGCCTGCTGCTGCGCTGCGGAAGCTTCAGGGCGTGCTACTCGAAGCTGAGCGAAGCGAGCGCGGCGGCGCTGCGTCGCAAGGTGGCCGAGCCGAGCGGGTTCGCCGGGCTCGAGCTGGCGGACACGGGTTACGAGACGCTCCCGGCGCTAGTGGCGGCGTGCCGAGCGTACCTTTGAGAATCCCCAGCGTCCCTCCCTCCTAGTCACAATCTCAATATCTCGACTCTCCAACACGAAGTGCTGTGATCGGGGTTGGCCCATTTCTTTTTCCTTTCTTTTTTGGGGGCCCTGTGGGCACCCTAGCTGTGACCTGTGTGTGCGACAGCCGAAAAAATTCTTTCTCCTGCACGAGGCGGAGGCGGCTCCCGTAGTGTACCTGTGTGTGTTAGTGCCAGTGCGCGCCAGTCCCGTGCCCAGTGTTGTGCGAGCCAAATAAAATTCTGGCCAACGCAAAAAAAGAAACAAAGCAGACAACCCCAAACGAGGGATGGGGGAGGAGGACAGGGTCCACACCTGCACGAGCAGGATTCTGGCCAACGCTCTCAATAGTAATTTACTTCTCCCGTACCATGCGGAATCGACCCTATCCAGTGCTCAAGTCCTCATTTACTTGGAGCACTTGGAGTGCAGTCGGCAACCTCACATCCAGGGCCGGTGAGCTGAGAAGCGCATCCAGCGGGCCGGATGATCGGTATCGGGTTACGGGCTAGAGAGCCCTAGCCCCGGGGGTGCGCGTTCGCAGGGCAAGGGCCTTAAAGTAAACACAGTTCTCCGAGGGTTGGACCCGCGTACCGGGTTTCCCCTTAACTGCAGGACGCCCCCTCTACTCGGAGCTAGTGGACATTACACTGGACACCACGCCCAAACACAGACACTTGCTTAGTCCTCGGTCCCGGAGCTCCACCTTCGGTCCTCTCGGGGCTCCGGTTCTCCCCGATTCGCTCTCTTGCTCGCTTGCCGAGCGTCATACGACGGCCGGTGTGGTCTTTTCCCTCGTTGTTGGTGTCGCTTCTTCCGCTGCCGCCTTTCGTCTTCGCCAGCCTCTCCCAGCTCCACCGGTTCTGAGAGTGTCGGCGACCCGGCCGGGGTCACCCCGGGTGAGAACGGTGGCATTGGGTCGCGCCCAGTTCCACCCCCAGGAGGTCGAGCCCGCTCTCCCTGGTCGGCGAGTCGTGCCCGCACTCGCGGCCTCTCTATCATCCCTGGCTCGCCCCCCCCCTCCGCCGGCTCCTCTCCAGGCTCGGGGAGGCGTGGCCCTCCCCGTCGGAGGTCGCTATTTACTTCTCTCTTGCGTGCGTTCGCGGATCTGTCCGGCGCATCGTGTATGCTGCTGCTCGCCTCCACTGCTGCACACTCGTCGTTCGTCGCGCAGTCGGCACATCTGACGCAGCACCACCGCGTCGCCTCAGCGCCGTCGTGCACCGCCGTGTTGGACGCTCCCTACCGCGAGGCCGAGTACGACCCCGAGGCGGCCGACCGCTACTTCCGCGCCCGGCCGCTCGTGGCGCTGAGGCGCGCCGCAGAGATCGCCTTCCTCAGCGCAGGTTTCGTGGGCAAGGTGCTCGCTGACAAGCAGCTCGGCCGCGAGGAGGCGATGGTGGACCGCCGTTCGGAGGAGTTGCTGCAGCTGGTCACGCGGCTGGGAGTCACTGCGATCAAGGTTGGGCAGGTGCTGAGCATCCGCCCCGACCTTCTTCCGGCGCCCTACGCCAAGGGCCTCGAGAAGCTGCAGGACAGCGTCCAGCCCTTCCCGGCGGCGCTCGGCCGCGAGATCATCGAGCGAGAGCTCTCGATCCGGATCGAGGACGTCTTCTCGGCCTTCTCGGCCGAGCCGGTGGCGGCGGCCTCCATCGGTCAGGTCTACAGGGGCACGCTGCGTGCGAGCGGCGAGGAGGTCGCCATCAAGGTGCAGCGGCCGAGCGTGCTGCACGACGTGGCGCTCGACCTCTTCATGCTGCGCTTCTTTGCGCCGGCGTACCAGGAGGCGAACGACGTCAACACGGACGTGGTCGGCCTCGTCGACGCGTGGGGGACCGGGTTCGTCAACGAGCTCGACTACACCATGGAGGCGGCGGCGACGGCCGAGTTCGCAGAGGCGATGGCGGCGCGCGGCCTCGGCTCGGTCACCTCCCCCGAGGTGGTCCCCTCCCTCTCGTCGACGCACGTCCTCACGACCAAGTGGGGTCTGAGGCCCGAGCGACTCGCTTCCCGTGAAGAGCGCTCGGTCACCCCTGCGCCCGTGGACAGGTGGGTCGAGGGCGAGCGACTGGCCTCCTCCAACGCAGACGACGTGCCGCGCCTCTGCGGCGTCGCGCTCAACGCGTACCTGACGATGCTCCTGGACACGGGCGTGCTGCACTGCGACCCGCACCCAGGCAACCTGCTGCGCACGACGGACGGCAGGCTCTGCATCCTCGACTGGGGCATGACGCAGCGCGTGCCGAGCGACCTGCAGCTCTCCCTCCTCGAGTTCATCGCCAACCTGAACGCGGAGCAGTACGACCGCGTGCCCGACGACCTCGTGAACCTCCGCTTTGTGCCCGCAGACAAGATCGGCGAGCTGCGCGCGTCGGGCCTCACGGTGGCCATCTCGAAGATGCTGCGGCTCGCGGCCAAGGGCGGCGGCCCCGCGGGCGCGATGCGGCGGATGGTCGAGGAGAACAAGGAGAAGTACGCGGCGCAGCTCAGCCAGTTCGACGACCTCGACTCGCCCGAGGCGACCAAGGAGCGGCAGCGCCTCTTCCGCGAGGACTGGCAGAGGGAGCAGGCGGCTGACGCCCTCGCGCGGGGCGGCGGGGCCCCTGCCGGCGGCGGCGGCGGCGCCGCGTCCTCCACGACGGCGGACCTGACCGCCAAGATCGAGCAGCTGCAGAGTGAAAACGCGGACGTATTTGCGATCCCGGACTACTTTGTGTACATGTCTCGCGCCTTCTCGACGCTCGAGGGGATCGGCCTCTCCTCCGACTCAAACTACGCCATCCTCAAGGAGTGCTTCCCCTACCTCGCCAAGCGCCTCCTCTCGGACGACTCGCCGCGCGCGCGCGGTGCCCTCCGCACGCTCCTCTACGGCGGCGGCGACGAGCTCAGCCTGTCCCGCCTCTCCGAGGTCGCGAGCGGCCTCGAGGCGTACACCACCTCGACGACGTCAGTCTCGGCGAGCACGGGCGCGAGCGACGAGGGGCGCAAGGCAGCAACGGAGCAGCTCGCGGCGGTCCTCCTCTCCGAGGACGGGAACTACGTCCAGTCCCTCCTCCTCAAGGAGGCGGCGGGCACTCTCGACGCCACCGTCCGCGAGCGACTGGCCACGGCGACGGCGCCGCTCCGCCGCCTGCCGCGCTTGCCGACGCCGCCCGCGCCGCTGGCACCGCTCGCACGGCCGCTCACGCTGCCACTCGAGCTCGCGAGTGCCGCCCTCGAGCTGCAGGCCGTCAGCCAGCGAGATGAGCGCAAGCTCGAGAACCTGCGGGTCCTCGCTCGCATCGCCGGCGCGGCCGGCGCGGGAGGGGGCGGCACGGCGGCGGGGAGCAAGCCTGCGGAGGGGAGCAAGCTTGCCGCGAGCACCGGCGTGATCGTGCCGACGGCGTTGGCTCGCGGCGGCGGCTTGGCGCCCTCCAGTCCTGGCGAGCGCGCCGCGGGGCTGCAGTCGCGAGTGGAGCAGCTGCGGTGGCTCGCGACTGAGGCCTCCGCACGCCGCACTGCGCTCGCGCGCACAGGCGTTCGCTTTGGCAGCTCGCTCGCGTCGGCGCAGGCCGAGCGCTTGCTCGCCCTCCGCCGCGGCAAGGACGAGGGCCATGGCGGCCTCTCCGACCTGGCGGCGCAGCTAGCGGAGGCGAGTGCGACGCGCCTTGAGGACGTCGCGGCAGCAATCGACGACTTTGATCGCGACCTCGGCGCCAGAGGGGAGGGGACGCGCCCCGGCGAGCGGCGCCGCATCTCGAGGAGATAGGAGATAGAGAGCGTGGTGGTGGTGGTGGGGGGGGGGGGGGGCCAAAGGGAAAACCAGGGTCGCGGGGGAGGATCGGTCTTCGGTGTACGTACGTGGCATGAAAAAACGGCACAAACACACCGCACAGAGCGCGCGCGGCGCAAACGGCACGAAGGATATCATGTGCACGTGCTTCCCGCAATCCCGCAACTCTAGATGGGCTGCAGCCTGCACTACCACGACTTGCGAGTTGCGTGATCTACATCGCAAGCCATCTACATCGTCTCCCGGAACTCCGCGGACATGCTGCGCATGCTGGCGAGCCAGTCCTCGGGCGGAGCCTCCTCGCCTGCGGTCGGGGAGGGGGGCGAGGGTGATGGCCGGCAGGGCCCCTCGGCGGTGCAATGGACTTGGGCGGGCCGCGCGCGCCCTTCCGACGGTGGAGCAAGGCGTACAGCGCGCGCGCGACGATGAACATGCAGCCCACGGCGATGAACAAGTCGAGGTAAAAGTTCCACGGCTCCTCGACGGTGAAGTAGACCGTCGGGTCGCCTGCCGCCAGAGCAGGGCGCGGCGGGTTGTGTCAGCGGTGCGGCTGGCGGCGAGCGCGGGCGAGGGCGGGGGCGGCGCCGGCTGCGTGGGCAAAGCAAGGTATCGTCGAGTTGTAGTCGTGCAGCGGCGCCCAGCTCGGATCTGCGTCGCAGCGGCTCCGGACCTCCTCGAGCTCCTCGCCCACCTCGCCGCGGCAGTCGTGCACCGTGCCGCCCCCGAGCGACTCGCGGGCGATCGCGTCCCAGATCGGTGTATACGGCTCGGTCGCGTTCGCCGACGTGGCGGCAGGCGTGTCGAAGCTGGAGGAGGCGCCCAGCGTCCACTCCTCGTGCGGGTGCGCGCCTGGGCGTGGTGCGGAGGGTGAGGGGGCGCCGTCCGCTGCGCCCACCCTTGCGATAGCTGGTGGCAGCTCCAGTGATGGCAGTGGTGGCCAAGCTGCCGCAACCGCTCCGGAAGGGCCTGCCGGACGCGCGCGTGTAGCGAGCTGACGGATCTAGGGCGGCGCCGGTGAGGGTGTGCTGGATCTTGTGCCAGTGCGAGTTCGCGCGGCCGTGAGCGACCGTCGGCGCCACCACAGACACGTTCCATGCTCGCTCGAGGATGAAGATCTCGCCTGCGGGCAGCGGGTAGCGCGAGAGGTGGAAGGGGGCGGCCTCCCGCGCGGCTCGGCGGGCAGCACTCGGGCTCGCGCCGTTGCGGTACTCGGCGTTGCGGGCCTCTGCCCACTTCCCGTGGTGGTACCTATTGCCGCACGCCCGTGACGCGTCTCGAGAGGCCGGCGCCTCTCTCCTCCTTCCCAGAGCCGGCAGGGGATGCCGCCGCGAGACGAACGTCTCCACCTCCCAGACGCGGCACGCGGCGCGCAGCCAAGTGCCGCGGCGGTCGAAATAGTCGCGCCTAAGGCGAGGGGGCGGGCCGGCTCCCCGAGGCGAGGAGGCGCCACGTGCGGTCTGTGCTGCGCGTGCTCTTCACCCCGCGTCCGAGAGCCAGTAGCCTGCGAAGAGGAGAGGGAGGAGGACGCCGAAGAGAGCGAGCTCGAGCGGGTGCCTTTCGGCGCACCTGCCAGAGGGGGGGCAGGACAGGGGTGGGCCGCCGCTTGCTCACGCGACCGAGCGGGCGTGGCCGGCGGCGAGGCGCAGCGCACCCCTCAAAGCCGCCAGGCCCCTGCGCCGCCTCTGCTGCGGACCTCGACCGTGCGCTGGCCGCGGACCTCGCCGCCGCGCTGCCGCCGCCGCCCGTCGACTCGTCGCTGAAGGCGAACGTGCGGGCCAGCAGCATGTCGTCCTGCGGCGTCGTCTTCTCCCGCAGGAGAGCCCGCAGCCCGCCAAGCACTCCGCGGCCGGCACGCTTCTTGTCGGAGCGCGGCGAGGCGTGGGGCGGCGCGGCGTGGTCGAGGCAGCGACGTGTCACGGCGCAGAAGGCGGCGGCCTCCGCAGCGGAGCTGAACGTGAACCACTTTGGCCTCTCGCGGTTTGCGAGGTTGACTCGCAGCCGAGCGCCTTCGACGTGGTTGCAGCTCTCCACTTCGCACAGTGGCACCTGGAAGAGGGCAGGGTGATGAGCCGAGCGTGGTTTGAGAAGGCGCGCGCGGGGGTGCTCGGACCTTCCGATCTCCGTAGCACAGCGAGTGGATCGAGACGGAGAGCGACACGGCACGCGGTGCCAAGAAGCGCTGGTCGACCCGCACTGAGACCGGGCCGTACGGCTTCTGCCGCAGCAGGAGGTCGGAGGAAGAGATGTCCGCATTGTACGTGGACTCGAGGTCGTTCTGCGTGGGGCCGGTCTGCATGGGATCGGCCGCTGTGTGCATGCAGTGGCTGTCAAGTCGCGGTCCTGTCGGTGGCGGTCCTCCCTTGTGCGTTTGGTCGGGGGGCGCACGCTTCCCTATCATTGAAAGTAGCAGAGGGGTCGGACCACACGTCTCCGAATGTCTGCCCTGCCGCCTGTCGCGGCCCCGCCTGCCTCCCGGGGCCCGCCCGGCCGTGCCATCCGCCGCCGGACCGCCCGGCGGGTCCAACCCGAAGCGGGCGACCGGCCGTTCGCACCGCTCGGCCGGCGGGGCGAGCCCCGCGGCCCTCGATCGCTCGCCCCGGGACGTGGCCCGACCGGCCCACGCGCACGTCCTGGCCTCTACCGCCGCTTTCGGCGGCGCAATTTGCGCCTTCATCGCTCTCTGGATCCTCCTGGCACCCATCGGACTCTTCCCGACGGTCGGCGGCACCCACTCCGTGCACTTTGAGGCAGACTCGCTCTTCGGCAGGCACGCTCTTCGGCAAAAAGTCGCCGCCGGCCGTTCACGCCGAGCCAGCCAGTTGCCGGCTCGCACGGCAGCCTCTTCCTCTCGACCAGCCTCAACTTCGACACGGTCATCATGTTGTCGCTGCGTGCTCGTGGCGAGCCGGGCGGCGGTCAAAGTTTGCCCAGACGAGCGCCAGGCGATAGCAAGGTCTCTGTTCGCCCTGTGCATGTCAGGCCAGGCTGCAGCGGGGCACTACCATCGTGCTACGCTGTTGCAGCCTGACCTTTCCCACTGTGCACAGCCGCCAGAGCACCACCACCGCCCGGCATCGTGTCACGGCGAGCTCCTTCTGCACCCGTTCGCGAGGCTCTCGCGCTGGCACACTTCGGCCTTCCGCTGCTCGCGTTCGGCGAGCTCTTCTCCGCACTCCTGCCACGGTGCCGTCGCCACACACCTTCTGGCCGGCCTGAGCCATGCGGACTCGACCTCTCTCCCTCTCTGGAGCACGCCACGGGCCGCGACGGCTGCTGGCAGCCGGCCGGCGTGAGGAGGCAGTTTGCCGGCACAGTCGAGCTGGAGTATCCGCTTCTTGATGCTTCTGCGGTCAAGCTCGACCTTATGTGACATGATATGCCACAATAATGCATGCTCTCACCCCTCAAAGTGTCGAAGTTTACCGGTGACTCTCCGGTGGCCCGATAGTACCGTGTGCCTTTCTTCAAACGAACGCGCTTCGAGGTTCGACAATCGCTAAGCTGCTTATGGGGCACCGCTGCGACTCCCTTGGGGATGCCTGAGGCCACCCCAAGCACTCCCTAAGCCTTACGTGGACGATTTCAACCCTACTCTGTGTTTGTTCGTCTACGCACATTAGCAACTTTGTGCTCATGTCAACGCCACGCCAGCGCTAGCCCATTCAACCCCGCCCCATTGGGGGCGGGGCCCGTCAAGGGCCTCACTCTAGTCTTTGTGAAATCGAGGGTGTGGGGCCGAGGGGAGAAGCGCTGAGGGGTGACGTCGAGTGAGGATGTCCGTCCTCTGCGTGTCTGGTGTTTATGAGCTCCGAGTAGAGGGGGAGTTCTGCAGTTAGCTAGTGGAAGGAAACCCGGAGCGCGGACTAACCCTCGGGAGACCCGTGTTACTTTACGCGGCCCTTCCCTGCGAACGAACGCGCACCCCCCAGGGCTAGGGCTCTCTTGCCCGCAACCCGATCCCGATCATCTGGCCCGCCGGGTGTGCTTCTTAGCTCCCCGGCCCTGGATGTTTGAGGCTAAGGACTGCACTCCAAGGTAGGTAGGTAGAAAGGTGAAGAACAGCCAGGCTCGGACTGGACACCAACGCGGTATGGGTGGACGCCGGACAGATGATGACGACACGCACGAGCGACACACAGACACAAACAAGCTCACAAACTCCAAGTGCTTCCAAGTTGAGAAAAGAAGAAGAAAATCGGCCATCCGCACTCCAAGTGCTTGTCCAAGTGCCGGGGTGGTGTGGCTGCGATAAGTGGCCACCCGTTTATTATTGACAACAACCAAGGCGCTCTAAACAAGAATTTCACGAAAAAAGAGTCGACATCGTAGTGCTGCGTGGCACCGTGGCGGGCGGGACTCGACGCGCAAGTCGCCCTCATGGCGCCATGCAGCCGTCGGCCAACACCTCGCGCGCCTTCAACTCCGCACCTCGGGCGCCCTCAAAAGAGCTGCACCGCCGTTGGGAAACTCCTTGCCGTTGGCAAACTCTTTGCGCACCAGCCGCTCCGCACCTTGCCCGCCCTCGAAGTACGCAACGGCACCGTCGGCACGCACCACGCGGACCCTCCGCTCCGCACCTCGCTCGCCCTCGAAGAACTGCACCTCGCCGTTGGGAAAGTCCGCGCGCACTTTCCGCTCCGCGCCTTGCCCGCCCTCGAAGTACGCAACGGCACCGTCGGCACGCACCGCGCGCACGATCCGATCAGCACCTTTCTCGCCCTCGTAGTGCTGCACACTGCCGGTGGCAAACTCCGCGCGCACCATCCGCTCCGCACCGCTCTCGCCCTCGTAGTACTGCACCTCCTCGCCATTGGCAAACTCAGCGCGCGACAGCCGCTCCGCACCACTCTCGCCCTCGTAGTGCTCCACCCCGCCGTCGTCGGCTAACTCCATGCGTACCAGCCGCTCCACACCTCGCTCGCCCTCGTAGTGCTGCACACTGCCGTCGGCATACTCAGCGCGCACCATCCGCTCCGCACCGCTCTCGCCCTCGTAGTACTGCACCTCCTCGCCATTGGCAAACTCAGCGCGCGACAGCCGCTCCGCACCACTCTCGCCCTCGTAGTGCTCCACCCCGCCGTCGTCGGCTAACTCCATGCGTACCAGCCGCTCTGCACCTTGCTCGCCCTCGTAGTACTTCACGTTGCCATTGGCAAACACCGTACGCACCATCCGCTCCGCTCCTCGCTCGCCCTCGAAGTGCTTCACCTGGCCGCTCTGCAAGAAACGCAACCGGAGCTGCGCGCCATTCTCGCCGCGCAGCAGCCTCCAGACCTCGGCTCGGCGCTCTGCGCCCTCCACTTCCGACGTGAGGCGGAGCGCCGGGCTCACCCTCGCAAGCCACGGGAAGTGGTCGGCGCTGGCGCGGCGGTCGGCGGCGTATCTGCGGAGGGTGTCCTCGCTTAGGGTCGTGTCCATGATCGACGAGCCCAACGATGCGACGAAGCGCTCGACGAGCAGTATCCGCATCGCCACGGCGAAGAGCGGGTCCTTGAAGCGCGCCAGGCCGCTGCGCAGGGCGAGAAGGCCGAGGCGCGGCGACGCGAGGCTGAAGGCGGCGCAGTCGGAGAAGTCGTCGACGCCCTCGAGGATGCGGAGGTGCAGCTCGTGCGGCAGCTCGGCCAGCCAGTCCGTGGGCGGGGCGTCCTCTTCGGTGCGTGCGGCGCGAGGGGAGCGCGACATATACACACACTTGTGTATGGGGGAGAGTGCAGGCAGCGGCGTTCGGAGTGAGATGAACTCTGCTGTTGTGTGCTCTACATGCCTCTCGGGGTTTTAGTCTGGCCGAGTCAACCCGAGTGCTGGGGCGAGCCTCGGCGAGACTGCGTCAGCTGTTCCCACAGCAGGCTGGAAGTACCTCGCCAGCTCTGATGCAGCTGTGACGGCTCCGCGTCGCTACCGCCTCCGCCGCCGCCGCCTCCGCCGCCGGCCGCCGCCTCCGCCGCCATCGCCATCTCCGCCGCCAACCCCGCCGTCACCGCCACCGTCTCCCCTGCCACCCCCGCCGCCACCCTTGCCACCCCCGCCGCCACCCCTGCCACCGCCGCCGCGCGCGCGGGGGCCCCCGGAGGCACCGTGCGCCGCGCAGCAGTGCGGAAACGGGGCTCCGGCGCTATTAGTCTCTATTAGCACCAATTTCCCGAATGATTACGGTTGATTAGAGGGCGCAGATTTGGAGAGATCTCGAGGAGTACATACAGATAGACCCTCCAACCATCAGCAAACTCCGTCCGACCTGATCGGTCGTACTGACCGCCGACAGATCACTGCAGACAGCAGACAGGCCGACGTCTCTGCACGCGGCCGGCCGGGCGAGAGGCTTGACACGATCCGACCCTGCGACCCTGACGCTGCTGCTCTAGCTATCAGACATGCACTGCTGACTGCTGCCACAATGTGCGACCGATGCTGACCCACTTGGCGGCCTTCCCGGTCAGTGGTGAGGCGCAGTTCAGAGCTGTCGATGGCGCGATGCCGCACTGGTCCCACATTGGTGACACGAGACCACCACGTTTGCCGGTCCAAGAGAGAGGCACTGGCGCTGTCCTGAGAAGGTGCGTGGTCCCTCTTGACTCCCATGCGCGCGAGGCTGTTTCCGTTATTCTGAAGGCTTTCCCGAACTCAAAACAGGATTCTGAGGGCAGACATGAGCTCACTCAGTGAGATCTTGCAGCACACACCCTGATTGTAATCCAGGAACATCGATCGATCGAGAACAAAGTCGGTCCGAACAAAGTCGGTCTCGAGATGATCGGGCCTGAGGGAGGGTGTAGAGGATGTAGAGTGTAGAGCGCTGTAGAGCTGTAGAGGTGTAGAGCGCTGGAGAGCGCTGTAGAGCGCTGTAGAGCTGTAGAGCTCTACATCCGCCGCGTGACGAACTGCGTGCGTTGTAGAGCGATGTAGAGGCGCTCTACAACGTGAAATCTCTACAACAAACTCTACATCATAAGCGGCGAACGAGGCACGGTCGCTCTCACGACATGAGGCGCGTTCCACTTGCCAGTGCTGCCCTGGCCTTCTGTCTGCCCGCCCAATGGGTGGCAGCCAGGTGCCTCTGCTGCTGTGGCATGCCTCACGGCTGCGACTGGCCGGCGCCCCGGCGCGTCAGCTCGGCTCGGCGTAGCGATAGTGGCCAGCGCAACTCGCTTGGACTCAACGCTCAGCCACAGGAGCTCCCGCATGCGCTGGCGCGAGTCATGGTGCATGCAACGCGCCTGAATGCTCGCCTCGCCTCGCGCAAATGCGACCGTCCTCGCAGCCGACAGTCCACCGCCTGCTAAAGAAGCACAGCGACGAATGCGGCACTGGCGACGCATGGCAAGCTGGTCATGACGCAGTTGTAGGGTGTTGTGT